CCGTGTTGGTGATGGCTGCTGCAGTTGCAGAGGGGAAGACTTGGAGGAATCCTGAGGAAGCTTGAACTGTTGAAGAGCTGACACTCACGGAAGCTCTCCAACAGGCCTGGCTCCTTAGCCATGCTTTCCTGGTGTGAAAATAACAGTTAAATGTAACCTCACCTGGACGGCTCGCTGGAACTTCACTAGCTCTTTGTCTCTCCGTATTACTGTCGGGAAAATAGGAAAGCTTCCAGGTCTCTTCCATCTGCTGTAAGAGGTTTGAGGGCAGAACAGGGCTTATGTAAAACTCCCGATGACAGGAAAGCTGCCTGTGAAAGGAGCATGTGCTGTTCTGGCTTTATTTGGATGTTCGGGATGACTTTTCATTTAACTATTGAATAATAACACTAAAAAGCACGGGGTGCTTAACACCCAGCGTCAGTAATATAAGCCTCTGTGGAAGGCTCCTGCTGATATTCAGAACAGGTCCTCCAATGCAGAATTAGACAGGAGCCTTTTCTGCCAGCTGCCATGTTTATGGGGAGAGTAAAGGCCAAAATTGACCTATAAAAGTGATTTGGGGGTGAGCACACACACAGGTAATTGGTAAATAAAGTCACTGGGTAGACAATCTCAATCTAACTTCTCTTCCCGTTGAGTCAGATGCTTACAGACTAGATGAGTCAAAGCCTGCGATGCCCACCAAGAGTTTGCCTGTAGCCTGCACAGGACAAGGAAGTTTGGTTCATAGGAAAGTTTTAAAGCTCTGTACTTGTTTAAGTGTAAAAACCCTGTCAATGAGTGACTGCGTGCTACTTTGTAAAAAGATTTCGTGTGTGTGCGTGCTGCAGGAACCATCAAAATGGGGTAGAAGGAAAAGGCGCTATGATCCCTTTTTCCCCCTGTCGCTGCTTCTCAGCACTTGTAGCAGGTTGGAAGCAGTAGCAAGAGTGGTGCCTCCTGGAGATCCCCCCTGTTTGGGTGCTGTTCTGCTAGATCACTCGTAATGACCCCGCAGTACGTGGAAAGGCTGGTGATGGGGTATTCTTGTGCGAACGGGAGCGAGCTCTCAGGTGGACATGCCGGGATGGTAAGGATTGGTCTGTGCCTTTGATTTGAGTAGGTCACTTACCAAAAGCCGCTTGGGAAAACGTACAGTAGGTATTTTCGCTTCCTGATGCTTTGATTCCTGCATGCTGTACTGTTCCAGAAGTTGTGATCTGTTTGTGGGCTGTTAATGGCTGAGTCTCACCTGTGCTTAGTGATAGTTTCCCTTCCAAGCATGAAGGAAGAACTCGCTTAGAGGTTCTGGACTCTGTGGAAGAAAAAAGATCCTGATGAAGTGACTCAGTCACTTCGGGAGGCCTTTTTCCTTCATAGGAAAAACAGTATTAAAGGTGCGGGCCTGAATTTCAAAGAAGAAAAGAAAAATCAGACAGAGGTGAAGACTAACAGTTCCTCAAGTAAAATACAGTGAGTCAGGGCTGAGGTTGGATTCTCTTGACTTGCGGACTCTTAATGGAGTCTTAATAGATAATCCATTTTGAATGGTGATTAATGGAATGTTTCCATGAAATGAGTATTGCCAGGGCTGCACTTTCAATAAATAACAGTAATTCTTATTTTAAACTGGTCAGATAATGCACAATAGTGTTGTCTGTCAGGCTTTGTAGGCTATAAATAGCACTGGATCTTTACGCAACCCAGAAGAGAGGTTCCTTTCATTTACTTTTATTCCTGGTTTCTGTGTTAAGTGCAATTCACTCTGTAAATATACCCCTCATTTGATTTTTGTGCATGGTTATGATGTATTGTGGATATAAAGATTGCCAAATCATCCCGTGTGTGTAAAATTCTGTTCGAAACGCAATTGTAGAATAAGGTGGGGACAGAGCTTTGGACCTGGCACCGGCGGTCGGTACCAGGGCAGGTAGCGCTCAGCCCGGGGCCGGGCCCCTGCGGGGAGCGTCGGCCTCCGCTGC